TTACTACGCTGGGCCAATCTTTCTTGAGCATCTGCCTATACCTTCCAAAACTTTCCCAATGTCTTATGGCCCCCAATCTTATTGATAAAATGTTCTCATTTTTCTTTTTTGGCCTCTGCACAGCGCTTGAAAAATTTTGTATCTTACCTCTTTCCGAGCACTCCAATTCTTCCTGCGTGCTTAGGGATGTTTGTCGCACTTTCTTTTATCGGTTTGCTGTAGCTCTCTTTAACTTCCATGCCTGTTCTACCTCTGATGTCCACCATGGAGGCTGCACAAAAGTAGATCTGAATATATCTCTTCCTTGACCTCTGTCGGAGGCGTCCAAGAAGAGTGTTTGTCCACTCTTACTTAAAAGACCTAGGAGCTTTTGAAGCCTTGACTTTCCTGGATTTGGAGAATATATTGAACATGGAGGATGATTGCTTCCGTGATTGAACAAGTCAATTTGGTATCCAGTACTGCTGGCTGGGTAATAAATGCCAGGTCAATAACCGTGTCTGCATCACCGGGCCTCGCAGCCACTCTGGTTCACCTCTCATCATTTATGCAGACAAAATTTGAGTCAAACTCCCTGTCGATTTTCTCCAGTACTGTCCCATTCAGTGTTCCGTGCAAGAAGACAAATGTGCAAGAAGTCTAGAAATGTGTTTCCAGTAAGAGTTATTATTAAATTTATGGGAACTGCTGGTAATACAATCTAGAATGCAATTTAGAAATAAAGTATAGATCTGCTAAAGTCAAAGTCTCTATCTCGCAACACAAAGATCAAAATATATAAAATGTTGATAAAATCAGTCGTTTTATATGGCTCTGAAACTTGCAGCACAATTAAAAAAGATGAAGCCATATTACACATTTTCTAAAACAGTCTTACAAAAAAATCTTTGGACCCATCAAAGATGCAGACAGCAGGGAAGGGAGAGTGAGAAGCAACAACGAAATTATAATTCTGTTTAAATCACCACTGATCACTGGCATCATGAGAGCTAATAGACTGAAATGGGTGGGGCAAATTGAGACAATGTCAGGTTAAAGCGAGGTAAATACTATACACGAAGGATATGAATGGTCATAGACCACAAGGCAGACCAAGAAGATGATGGAGAGATAATGTCCAGACAGACCTGCAAACATTTGGTGTCACCAACTGGAAAGAGAAGGCCAGTTAGAGAGATGGGTGGATGCGGGGGATATCTGCAGCAATGAACCTCAAGGGCTAGGAATGCTAAAGAAGAAGAACTGGCTAGTACTGAAAGATTTCAGATATAGAATGATTTGTGTGCGTACTGGACAGCGGCCATCAAAACACACACACCTCATAAAGCAGGTGAACTTATTATTATAATACAATGTCATCAAAAACGACTGCAAGGCTTTTAAACTGTTATTATAAAAGAAGTCATCATCATCAAGTAGCAGGTCCTTTGCAGAACATTGCTATCATCAGGGTCTGTCTAAAAGAAACTCGGTCTCTCGCCAGCTCTCCAGCCTCTTGTACTTTCATGTTTAGGGAGACACTTATAGCCTGCACCCATCTTCGTGTTGGTATGCCCATGCCCTTCCTTTCTGATACAATGCTTTCTGCTATTAATTTTTCCCAATCCGCCATGGCGCTGGATATATCCAAAATATTTCAGCTTCTGAAAGAAGATTAGCCAATCTTTCTTGAGGTTAAGATCTTTTAAAATGTCAGTATCTCTTCTCTTCTTTGTCCACAGTATTGTGAGAATATTTCTATACCATTTGAGATCAAAAGCTCATATTTTCTTCCTTGAGGACTGGGAGATAGTCCAGGACTCACATCCATATGTTGCTACATATATGATGTATGCTGAATGCTCTCAAAATTTCAACTTACCTTGCAGGTGCTTAACCAGAGACTTTTAATGCTGTTTAAATATAAGACATATATAATGGATTTGCATGTGTGGCATCTTAAAATGTTCAGAAAAGTTTAATTTTAGATATTCCTCAATATAATTTGATATGGGTGCCATTTGTACCTCAGATGATGTCAGGACAGTATTCAGTCTCCTGCCATGTCTCCCAAATTGTGTCAAGTTGCAGTTGAAATTGCTGCAGTGACATGCTCTTTACAGGTGCTCCATGTTCTTTGTCTTCTCAGTGTACACATCTCTACGGAAAATAAAGTCTAGCGGTGTTAGATCTTAGCCATAGCTTCTAACCCATGCATCTGGAAACCTCTCATTTAAGACATCATGAACAATGCAACTGAACTGAGGTCCTGCATGAAAGTAACTCTACTCAATGTTTGTTGTTCCCAGTCCACAGTTTGTGGAAACATGTACTGTTAAAGCATGCCTTATAATAGTGTTTTCACTGAAGAAGAAGAAGGGACCACTAACATGATCATACAGCAGTCTGTGCAAGATGTTCCCCCACCATAGGTAACTCAAAAACACAATCATAGATCGTGGTTGTGAACGCCAAAGATTTGTGCTAATTAATGCATCCAATCACATGAAAACACTTTGTCACTAAAACAAATGCGCTGTTGGAAAGCTGCCTTGTCATCGATGCTGTTGAGCATAACTGCACCAAATCACACACATTTTTTTATGTCATTCAGTTTAATTTCATTCAGCAACTGAATTGTTCAAGCACAGAGCCCTAAGCATTTGTGCAGAACAATCTGAATGGCAGTTTTTGCAGTCATTAATGCTTAACTTTTATGAGCACTTAATTTCTTTGAGCTTCTCCAAAGTTTGTGGTCAGCCAGAAGATCACTTTTTCTCAACACTACCAGCTTCTCTCAACTGTTTTATCCACTGATTCAAAAACTATGTCATTTGGAAGATTTTCTCATGGGTGCAAACGCCGCCACTTACGTTGCACTTTGACAAGAGATGTCAGTTCAGCATAACACAGAAACTCAGCCTTCTGTTGAACAGTTCACATCCTACCATGCACCAGCTTACATCAAAATGGACGGAACAGAGTCGTCTCGCAGCAACATTCTTGTTCTGAACAATTTAAGATACCACATATGTTTATCCATTATTTAACTTTTTCATATTTAGTTTAAAATATCAGCAATCATTCTCGATGACCCTGTACTTGCAGGTCAAATCAGTGACAACTATCTGTACTTTGAGGAAGACAACGCAGAGAGAACTATCTGTTCTTTAAGGAAGACAACAGCATTAGTGACATAAGATGCGCACACACACACATGCAGATATACAAAGCTGGATATCTTGACACCTAGAAACACACATCAATGTTGTAAAAAAAAAGCTGCCTTAAGAAGGATTCAAACACATGATACCCTGCTGACTGACACACGTGCTAGCCACTGGGTCTAATTTAAAACAGTATATTATATACATATATCATTTACACTTTAAATACTGCAAAATTATAACTGGAATTATAGCTATACTATTTAAGAAAAATGTGAACATAAATTTTCCATCTAGTCTGCCAGAGCATATTTTCATGAAACAATGACTTAGGTTATTGAAATTATTGTGCAGCTTTTGCCATCTATTTCCATTTCATCAGAACATTCATTAATTTGTTACAGGCCAGAAAGTATTTTGAGTGTGGCTTATAAGACATAAACATTGAGCACTCAATGTCTCCAGATGATGGGTAATGTTAGGAATGATACTGTTATGTCTTATTTGTGAGAAAGCCATATTGCTTTCTTCTTCTTCATGTTCATCGGCTATAACCTCAGGTAAAAAAGTTAAGGCTGTTCAACCAGTTCTGGACTTTGGTATTTTAAAGAACTTGACTTTTGCATGCATATCAGGTTTACAGATATGGCTTTCTTGTATGCAGACTGTTGGCTTCTTGCCTCTCATGTAGAAGCATTCCAACCTCACAGCAAACACCCCTAATTAGTTGCCTTTTATGACCTGCTTTGGAGGCAGTCTATCCCCCTACCCAAAATGTGGACCCCAGAACCCACATCAAGACTGTAAGGTCCATACCAGTGGTTCCCTAACTGGTGACTGGCTATATAATTTCAGAGTTCTGTGCTATCAATTTTACAAACAAATGAAAAAACCTAACTATTAAATTTCATTTTTTGTTGTTATGGCTGAAACAGTTAGAATGGGGCACATGGCAGACCTTCAAACATAAGGAGTCTGCAGGTCTTATCTAACTGGGAGCCGTTGCTCTCAATCTCTGCATAATTCAGCAATTCTTCTGCATCCAACATCCTCTAGGGATTTTTAGCTCTTTTTTGTTTTGTTATGAAAAGAATACTGTCCGTTTCCCTGTAAAAATGTTGCTGCATATTTTTATAGGACTTCACAAACCGCCCTCAGCCATTACTGACTTGTGTGATTCTACAAGGCAATTTTATATTCAGCAGTTTGCAGTTGCTTTCTGTATGGTAGGATACTCACACAGCTGTGAAATTTTACATAAATGATCAGCTATCAAATTGCATGCAACTGTGGTATTTTGAGATTCTGAATATGGGTTCACAACCCTTAAGCCACAATCTAACATCTCTGTCAATTCAGTGACTTTACCTACTCTAGAATGCAGGTTTGTGGCATCCCTGGTACAGACATACATATACTAGTATCATTTATAGTGATAATAAAACATTGCCTCCGCCCAACCTGACTAATGGGTGGCGTAAAGTTGTATTAAAAATTGTGACACTCTCAATTCTTTAAAAGCGGACATAATATACAACACAGCTTCAAACGCTGTCATGTGTGCAATGTCTCTAAAACTATATATATACAAAGATCATCAATATAATTCAGTATTAATGCAGGCATGTCTCAACTCTTATATGTGATAAAAGAATCCTGTGAGATACTGGTTATACTGACAAAAGCATTCTGTTAATGACCATCAAATTCTCACGTAATTCCCATGATTACTTCATCAAGGTCAGTTTTCTTTTATTTTATCAAAATCAGTAGGCACCATACAGAAGTGTTTCTGTTTTGTTAACTTCCTTCAGTATGGGTAGCAGTATTTAAATGAGGTCTCACAACCATTTATCAGACTAATTTTCTCTTTCCCTTCCCTTTTCCGTGGCCACCATTAGGTATCTGGCTATCAGTGGCAGAGTTTTGAGGCCAGGCTTTTTCTTTCAGTATCTCTGGCTTCTTCAGCTCTGTAATGACAGGTTCCTCAATCTCAAAAACTCTCACAATCTCCTGGAACAGACAAATCATTTAGAGCTCAGTATGGAATTAAAAAATACCTAATGCTTCTAGCCAACATTATATAAGTAATACAACTAAATAATCATGTACCTAACCTGGCAAAATATCTGCATTATTAAACAAAAATTAAAAACCTCAATTCTGGTATATCATTACTGCAAGATGAATAGATCCACAGTAAACAATGCTACTGTGTGATGACTGCTCATACCAATACAATGTCAGCTGACTGGTCTGCTTGACTAGTTGACAGACAAATAAGTGTCAATGATTTTCACTACACAACAAGAATTCTCAAATATCAAGGCCTAAATGATCTGCTTCCATAACTTCACCTTATCATCATCATCATCAAGTGCCTTACTGACACGGGCGATCATGCCTCTCCACAACCTGCGTTCTTCATCAGCAAGCATCAGTTTGTGTTAACACCCTTTCATGCCATGACAAAAGGCTGTCAAAAATTGTCTCATTTTGTCTTCCTTTAAATCTGTTCTCACAGAGGTTGCCAGTTGTTATAACATATCAGGTTTCCTTTTCATTAAATGACCAAAATCAAAACAAAAGGTGAACTGTCTCTTTCTGCTGTTTGTGATAAGTTGTCTTCAAGCCCTTGCCTCTTTAGAATATCTAAGCTGCTCATCTTGGCAGTCTGAGGAATTCTGAGAATTCTTCTGTGAAACCACATCTCTGAGCCTTCAGGAAACTGTCTAGCTTGTTCAATAGTTGTTGTCCATGATTCACAGCCATATGTTAAAACTGCTCTATATATATTTTGAAACTGCTTTATATATAGCATGTGAGAATTCTTTTTTCTAACCGCCAAAGAAAATAGATTTATTGTAGCAGATGTTTGTATAAAATGCAGTTTTTGTCTGTCCTATTCTGTTCTTTATCTCTTTGATAGATCTTCCACCTGATGTTATCCAGGTGCCCAGATACTTAAATTTCTGTTAGTCTTTCTTCTTGAGCTAGGGTGGCACATATAGCAAATATCATAGCTCTCCATGTCTGGGGGTTTGTTGCCATCTGTTTTAGGTATTCGATGTTCATTAGGCCTATGGCTGAGCCCTCCCTGATGACAGTTCTATGCAGGACCTCTCTTGGGTGTCCCCATTTTTCTTTTCCTTTCCGGTGTCCATATGAAGGTTTGATGAGGGAATCTGGTCTTATCCTTTCTAGATTCACAGCCAATGAAGTTCTGTTTCAGTACCTGTCCTTAAAAATGTTCATGCCTCTCCACAGATCACGATCCCTGGTTGCCTGAAACAGCTCTCTTGATGATATCCCTCCATGCCATCATTTCAGCTCATGCAGCATCATCCCTCTTGGTCTGCATCTACCCCTTTTCCACCTACCTTTCCAATTGTCACGATGTTCTCTAATGTCTCTCTTCTCATTATGTTGCCAGAGAACATAAATTTGACACACATTTTTTGAAACTTGGAAAAATCCTGAGTTCATGTCAAGAAAAATGATTATTATATACACCCCAGCTAGGACCATAATTTTGTTCACGTTAACCGTGAGTTCATGTTATTGAGGTTTTATTGTATGATCACCAACAACAACAATTCCTGGCAAATCTATGACAGCTGCTGTTTACTGTCAATGTTTTATTGTTCCAGTATTTTAATGATTTCCTCATATTTCACATAGGCAACTGTGTTGTATAGTCTTGAAGTATAAGCACAGATCAGGTTTTACTTCTATAGCTCTTTCTGACATCTCCACAACTCCCTGGTTGTGTTGTCTGTTTGTTCTTTCATGTCTGATACATATAGAAAATGATGCACAGCACTCTCCTGGCACTAAGCATTCCACAGAGTAAGGGGTTGACTCACCAAGTGAGTAGAGTAGAGCATTCCCTAGGCTGACTAATGCGAATGTGGGGGAAAGAGGGAAACCATCGCATGATGAAGTTAATGAGTGGGTTATACAAATGTGATGGCAGAATGACAAGTTGCAAAACTTATCCCCAGTCTCCACACTGAACAACTTGACACACTATCATTATGTGCCATGCTGAATTGCTCATACTGCTCCAAAACCATGTTTTCTATGTTATTAAGTTCAATTGCTCATTTATCTTTGATGCTACTTTATCAACCTATTCAACATTTTCTGACATCACCTCTCCTTCCCCTAATCTTCACAACTGTCATAACATTCTCCAGATTCTTTATTCTCATAATGTGACCCACAAACAAGAAATTAATATTTCTTGCTACTGAAATATTTAAGTAGTACAAGTATTCTAAACTAGAAGATAAATTATCTAAGCCTCTTTTTAGAAGGTAGCAAAACAAATTACCATCACATCTGCTAGACTCAAGAAAATCTGATTTAAAAAAAGGAGGCATTCCAAGAACATTGAGAAAAAAAAGGGTGAAAGGTGAGAGGATCGACATTATTGCACTGGGCTGTATCCCATATGGCTCAGTCTCTCTCTCCACAGAATGGTCTGTCACCTGCCGAGAGCATTGCACAATTGCATTTGTGAAGTGAATGGCACAGCTGTGAAACGAACCCATGACCTTGATGGCATGAGGCAAATGGCTAGATCACTTCGCCACAGAGACCTCCAAAATTAAAAACGTAGTACACTGACAAAGAATAACAATAAGCCATTACCAGCCACTGAGTATAGCTGTCATTGAGTGTTGGACTAACAGTTTTTCTCCTCCATGACACACAAAGTCAAGAGTGGCAAATGATGATGAGACATTCCAAGAATACATATATTTACCTTCCACTGCTCAGGTGTGATTGTAAGGACAATTTGTTTGGTTTGTAAAGTCTGTTTTATGTTTCTTTTCTCCTCTTGTATGCGCTCTATGGGCTCTAAATTTAATGCAAAGAATTTAAACAGCTTTACCAAGAAATCAAGCAATTAAGCAATATATTTATCATAAGAAAAACATAAAAGTGATTAACTGATATACATAATTAAGAGCACAAGGTGACAAAGTGACAAACTTATAAATACATACCATAATGAAAAAAACAGGGGGACAAACCAATATATACACACCATAGTAAACAACACAGAAAAGAGAATGTAAAAGAACTTATTTTGAAAAAACTCTACAGCTATAATGACGATACTAAACAGGTGTGCGATTTTAGATGGTTGTTACTGTCTTCCAGTATTACAACCATTTGACCACAAGGTGTAGAGATAGATGTCCTTGCAGTCTGAAATATGTCACATTGCCACACAGAAAGGTCACTGGTGTATCTTCGCAGACCATAATTATGACACAAATACTTTTGCTATTCTGGATTTAGGTAAGTGTTTTGTATCATTAAGGAACTAATGTTAACAAACTGTTGCTGCACTACAGCAAGGTTAAGTATAGCTGGCACCAACTTTCCTGCTATCCTGGCTTCACATTAGTGTAGTTCATCACTGAATCAACAATATCAAATACTTAACAATTAAATATAGTATACATTTAATTTTTTTAGTTAGTAGTTTTGATAATAAAATTTTTTTTGTTAAAAAGGAAAAGAAATTATGACATGCACTGGCAAGTTATCAGCAGCTTTTAACAGACTGAACAAAATATTTAACTCTAAATTGTAAAGTTTCATAACCAAATTCTGTAATTTTGAATTCTAATGTTATTTCAGTTTTAACATATGCCACTGAAAGTTGGAGACCCAGTAAAGACATGAAACGAAAGTTAAATGCATTCAAAAACAGGAAAATGATGACCCTAAAAAATCATTAGTATCAACAGTTATAAGACAGAGACGATGGTACTATACTGGACACATTCTGAGAAGATATTAGCATAGAATTGCCAGACAGGCACTAAAATAGGAAATAAAGGGATCAAGGTGGTGAGTACACTCAAAAGAAACCCTAAAACAAATGAAAATGAGAGACACTAAAGTGCTGGACAGGATTCAATCCAGGATATTTGAAATGACTGCACAGGCAGAACAAAAATGAAGGAACTTGCAGCCCTGTGTGACACATAATGACCCAACAGGACAATGAATAAATGAATGAATAGCATGTAGAACCTTATCATGTACAGTCCAGACAATAAGCATATATGCTAGCCTCATATCTCTAGTTTGTTACTGCTATAATCAAGCAGTTTAATAAACTATGACAGGATCACCTTTCTGCACCTTTGAACAATGTACAAACACCATTACACTTGATCTGAACCTAGGAGTTATTTAAATAATAATGATAAATTATTCATCATCATAAACCACTTCTGCCGTTAAGCGTCATTGGGAGGAATAATTTGCGATCCACTGCACGTTGGCTGCCACTAGCTATTGTCATGCCGTAGAGGCGTAGTGCCTTTAATGTTGTCGATCCATGTTTTCCGCGGCCGTCCTCTTGCTCTTGTAGCTGATCTCAGGGTTCATAGCCAAATTTACCAATCAATTTCAAGGCTTTTCAAGGTCTTTTTCAAGGTCTTCTTAGTTTTTTTCAAGGTTGTCTCGGTGTAATACTAATACAAGATTTTTGCCTTGTTCAAGGGTTACTGAGCACACAAGGGTACTCATTTGTGCCCACATGTGTTGGGTATACCAGCACAGATATCATCATCATGCAGCATTTCCTTTGTCCTGACAAAAAAAAAACTCGGTCTCTCACCAGCTCTCCCGCCTCATGTACTTTTTTATACTCAAGGAGTCACTTAATCCTGTGTCCATCTTCGTGTTGGTCGGCCCCTGAGCTTGATATAGTGTTTGAAATTTTTTTTTAGGGCTTGGTGGTAGAGGGCAGCAAAACTGAAGTCCTGTCTGTTCTGGACCTGGTACCTGAGAGGGTTAGGGGAGAGAGAGAGAGTCATGAAGAGAGAGGAAGACACATGCTGAGGTAGGCTGGGAGAGACAGTGTAAAGATGGACAGATGAAGGTAGAGAAAAGAAGGAAAAGAAGTCTGGGGAAGGATGAAAAAATGAGAGGGAGGGATGGAAACATGATGAGGAAAAGTGGGGAAGGGACAGCGAAAGACAGAGAGGGAGACAAATACAGAAAGAGGGAATGCAGATACAGAGATGGGCAGATGATAAGAGAAGAAAAAGGGAACGAAACAGAGATATGGAAGGAGGAAAAATATGACAAAGAGTTGAAAGAAGGGAGACAGAGGGAGAGAGAAACGGACAGGGTGAGAAGCAGATGCAAGCAGAGAGAGATGTAGAACATAAAGGAGAGAGAGACAAAGGGACAGCACAGAGAGGCAAGCAGACAGAGGGAGAGAACCAAAGAAAGAGAAAAAAGAGAGAGGCAGGAGAATGGGGAGGGAGGTATACAAAGAGAAAGTGATGAAGGGAGGCAAACAGACCATAAAGCAAGAGAGAGAGAGAAAGGTGGGTAAGGAAGGCAGTGACAAACACAGATTAAGAGAGGGGGGAAGGAAGGGAGACAAGATACCTCAAAGAAAAAAAAACAGCCACCCACTCCCCCCCCCCCCCCCCCCCACACACAATTTCAAGTGTAGTGGACACAACCACTATAGTTATGGGGCAAAAAAATATGTAGATGAACCAGGTAAAAAAAAATGGGGGGGGGGGGGGGGGGAGAGAATGAGAGAGGGGAGCGGGTAAGGAAATCTAGAGAAATGAAAAGACAGGATGGAGAGGAGACAAAGAAGAGATGGGACAGGAGAAAGGGCAAGGAAAGGAGAAGAGAGGAAGAATGGAGAGAGAAAGGAGAATAGTAGAAGATCAAAGGAAAGAGAAGGGGTGAGAGAAGAAAGGTAAGACACGGTTTGTGGGGGGGGGGTGTAAGAAACAATGAGTGCCCAAAATAGAATTAGGAAAATCTCTAAGTGAGGCCACTTTCGGGTTCCTACCTCTCCCAATGTGAATGTGGCCGTGGTCCAAAAACAACAGTGCTAACCCCATACTGCCCCTTGCTTGTCCTATCTGTGTGTGACAACAATAATTCAATTTCTTACACTTAAGGCTGGTGACCTGAGAGCCAAGGTCATTTTATGAAGAAAAAAAAAAGTCCAGGGGATCCCAACCCACCACTGGTGGAAAATAGAGAAGTTTACCCACACACATAAATAGGTCAGACACATAAATAGGTCAGGGCAGCAGTGGACTTCATTTTATTTCTGGTTTTCCAATTACAGAAAGGAGGGGAGAGAGGAGGTGGTGGAAAGTGGTGTAGAAGGCTGAGGTGGTAAGGGTGAGAGACAGAGGAGGTGAGAGAATAAAGTTTAAGAAAATAAAGTGGGAATGAGACAGGGAGAGAAAGAAGGGAGTAAGAAATAAGATGAGATATAGAGGGAAGAAGGTAGCAGGAAGGGGTGCACTCCCTCCCCTAGGTGTCATCAATGTGGGAGGAGAAAAAGGGGGGGGGGGGAAGGTGACGGCAAATGTGTTTTTAAAAGTACACATATATTTAATGTGTGGGAGGGGGGAATGATGGACATGAAATGTTCTGCACTAGGCAACACTAAACCTTATACACCAACTGAAGGTATGGAGAAAGAAAGAAAGAGAGAGAGAGAAAGAGAGGGAGGGAGTGAGGGAGAGCGGCAAATACAAAGAGAGAGAGGAAAGCAGTGACACAGACAGTCAGAGAGTGAGGAACAGGTAGGACAAAAATGTGAGGGGGCGGGAAGGGAGATGGACAGAGATTAAGGCCGCTAGGAAAACAAACACATCAAAAGAAAATATCCACCATGTTCACACAGAATGCCCCCCCCCCCCCCCCCCCCCCCCCCAATACAACTTCCTGTGTACTTGAGTTGCTAGGAAGAGTTATGGAGCCGCACATTTACTAAACATTTAAACAAGAAATAAAATAGGAAAAAGGGGGGGAGGGGGGACATGAAATGAGAGAGTAAAAGGAAAGATAGAGAGAAAGAGAAGAAGATGAAGATCAGAAGGGAGGGTTAGAGACAATGCAGGAGACGGGAAGGAAGGAGCAATAGGTAGAAGAGTGAAAGAGGGAGGGAAGAGAGAGAGAGAGAGGGGTGAGACAACAGAAGAGGGAATCTCGGGGAATTACAATACTGATCGCCAAACACACTGTAAAGATAAATCCAGGCCAAAAATAGAACTGGGAAATCCAGCTGCAGTCACTTTGCTTAGCCCCAATGCCATCTCTAATTAATAGAGAAGGCCGTGCTTAGCCCCCACCACGGCGACTCTATTTATAAATACAACTGCACCGAGCCCCACCATCTCCCAATGTAATCCTTTCTCTAAACCACGGCCATAAACGATTTAAAACTGTTCATTCTGCCGGACTCGCTAGAAACAAAGGCACACACACACACGCGCGAGACGGAATCTGCTACTTCCAGCCCCATGCCACACCGCTGCTGTCTGCATGTTTTTCATGATCAGCAACAAAGCCCGCCCTCCCCTGGCCTTTAACAAGCCATTTCGGCTGAAAATAGCCAATAATCAGCTGCCCTCACACCTGAAACGACCATACAACGAAAGTAGCCAAAAACTAGCCAAATGGCCAAAAAAGCCAAATGGCTCCCTCAAAATTGCCTGTGCTGAAAAACACAGGATTTCTGACGATTTCATTGCCGCGGTCAAAATTCACGGGTTTTTAAGGTCGGAATGTCTTTTATAAGCTAAAAATCCCGGTTCAAGGTCAACGAAAAAAATCCCGGTAATTTCCCGATTTCCCGGTCCACTACGAACCCTGTGATCTTCTGAGATGTAGTGCTTGTGATGGTATTTGATCTTGCTGCATTCTAACGAGATGACCAAACCACTTGATCTGCTGTTTCTCGATGAATCTAGTACAAGGTGTCGTTCCCACAATTTGCCTGATAGTTTCATTATTCACTCGATCTCGTATGGTTAGGTTGGCTGCTCTTCTCAGGCACCTTATCTCGCAGGTGGTGATTTTGCGTATATGGGCTTTAGATAGTGTCCATGTTTGGCAATGGTAGCTTAATGTTGGAATGAATATGCTATTAATAATCTGTCTCTTTGCACTCATAGTTATACTTGGATGCCTTAATAATGGTGATAATTGGTATATAAGTGCACTTGCTTTCTGACAACTGGTTTCTATTTCTCTGTCAATTCTACCATCTTCTGTGATCATACTTTCTAGATATTTAAACTCCCTAACTTGATTCAGGGCAGAACCATTCAGCTGTATGTGTAGTGTGGCAGGGGTAAATATTAATGTAAATTATTAATGGGGGGAAATATTTAACAGATGAAGGAATACTTTGCTGAATTGTTAAACTGTGAAACCCCACTTAATACTTATCAACAGGAAGAGATATTAACATGTGAACCAAATACTGAAGAGCCTAATTTTGAAGAAGTACTGTATGTCATAACACGGCTTAAAATTAAAAATAATAAAGCAACCCGTGCTAATAAAATTGCAGCTGGACTTTTAAAATAAGGGGGGTCATGCATTACATGTAAACATATATGAATTAATAAAACTAATTTAGAAGATGGAGAAATGACCCCATTTTTAAGAAAGGAGACAAGTATGAGTTTGCAAATTATAGAGGAATATCACTATCTACAAGCTATAAAATACTATAGACGGTACTGCTAAACAGGCTAAAACCATACTTCGAAGACATACTGGGAGATTACCAAGCGGGTTTTCAACAGACCAGATCAACAATAGATCAGATATTTATTTTACGGCAAATAGCAGAGCAAAACTGGGAATAAAGAAAAGATATACATAATGTTTTTGTAGATTTTAGAAAGGCGTATGATAGTGCTCATAGAAACAGTTTATGGAATGCTATGAAGGACTTTGGAATAGCAAAAAAGTTAATTACCATGACCAATCATTATGGAAGACACTCGTGATATAGTAATATATAAAGGCAGAAAGTCAGAACTTTTTTAAATATCTGGTTTAAAGCAAGGTGATGCTCTGTCCCCACTTCTTTTCAACTTGGCCATGGAGAAAATTATAAGTAAATTAAAAAAAGAGTGTACTATATGAGAAACTACAAGAATACTTGGATATGCTGATGACATTGATATAGTTAGAGAAAATGAACTAGAGACTGTTAAAACATTGACTGTCTTAGAAGAATCAGCTCAGAAAATGGGACTAGTTATCAATCAAGATAAGACAGAATACATGATAATAACTACACAGGTAAAGCATATAAACTCCAACCACATACAAGTCAATAATATGAAAATCAAACGAACTGAAACATATGAGTATATGGGTGCAAACTTCAACTGCTCCAACATGCTGAGAGAAGAAATACAATCTAAAACATAATCTGGAAAAAAAGTACCCTATGCCCTTCATATTATAGACTTGTATGTGGCCAGAGTTTTCATCCTTTTCCTGTCTAGTTGTTATCATGTATTCTGTCCTATCTTGATTGATAACAAATCCTATTTTCTGAGCGGATTTCTTTTAAGAGAGTCTGTGTTTTTACAGTCTCTAGTTCATTTAATCAAATAATATCAAGGTCATTTGCATTTCCAAGGTCAGAAGTCCTGAGTAGTTAGCATCTTTTGGATACTTTCTCCAGGTCATGCCGGTGTATTGGAAAATGAGCAGGCAGACTAGTTTGGCAACGAGTGAACAGTGCGGATGCGCAGATAGATCATTACTGTCTGAAGAGAATGGTGCTGAGAGAAGTTACCAGCGGATGTGGCCGTCGCTCAACACTCAGGGGAAGGAAGAGACAGATATACAATCAGAGGGCTACTGGTGCCATGGGAACTGAAACTCTTCACTTGCTGCTGTAGATGGGGATGGAGCACTTATGGGAGCGCCCCAAATGCTGTGATGTCAATTCTTAATTCAACATACCCAAGTATTCTTGTAGATTCTCCTACAGTACACTCTTGTTTCAATTTCCTTATAATTTTCTCCAGGGCCAAGTTGAAAAGAAGTGGGGACAGAGCATCACCTTGCTTTAAACCAGATGTTATCTGAAAAGGGTCTGACTTTCTGCCTTTATATATTAGAATATTACAAGTGGGAGTCACCGTGGCTTAGCGGCTAGACGCTCGCATACGGATCGGAAGGTCGTGGGTTCACTCCATGGCAGAGCCGGATTTTTTCAAAAATGACCTTGACTCCCAGGTCGACCCAGCTTTGAGTGGGTACCGGGTGCAGTCCCAGAAAGTAAAGGCGGCCGGCGTGATGCTGACCACATTACCCATCTCGTTCCGATTGGTCTATAACATAAAATAGGTGTAGCCCTATAACCCTAAAGATGTGGAAAAGGGACCTTAACTTTTGTTTACTTTATATTACAAGTGTCTTCCATACTTAGTTTGATTATGGTAATTAACTTCTTTGTTATTCAAAAGTCCTTTATAACAGTCAACAAACTGTTTCTATATACACTATCATATGCCTTTTTGAAATCCACAAAAACATTAGTACATCTTTTCTCTATTCCCAATTTTGCTTTTTTTGCTGTAAAATAAATATCTGATCTATTGCTGATCTGTTCTGTCAAAAACCTGCATGCTAATCTCCCAATATGTCTTCGACGTATGGTTTAAGCCTGTTTAGCAGTACTGCTGATAGTATCTTATATCTTGTAGATAATAGTGATATTCCTCTATAATTTTCACATGTATTCTTGTCTCCTTTCTTAAAAATGGGTATTAATAAAGACACTTTCCATTCATGTGGTAATTTTTCCTCTTCCAAACTTGTTTTATTAATTCCTATATCCTTACATGTAATGCATGACCACCTTTTTTTTATAAGTTCAGCTGTAATTCTATCAGCACCAGTTGCTTTATTGTTTTTAAGCTGTGTTATGACATACAGTACTTCTTTAAAATCACTCTTGAATATTTGATTTACATGTTAATATCTCTTCTTGTGGATAAGTATTAAGTGTAGTTTCACAATTCAGCAAAGTATCCATTCGATCTGTTACATTTTTCCTTATTATTATTTATCATGTTGCCATTGATATCTTTTAAACTATAAATGTTTTGAATTCACATGCCTTCTCTGTTTAATTATATATCAGCTAGTTTTTATTTGAAAGAATTATTTTAAATACTTTGGATGTTATGATCATTTCTGTATGACATGTTAGATTTCACAATAACCAAAATCGGATAAACAGCTGATTGAAAGAGATGATCCAACTGAAATATTTTTTGTTCAACATCATCCTAACCTACATTATCGCCAATAGGTTTGTCACTTGTATTATCATTCATAATATAAAGACTAATGTCACTATCTGGCCGAGATTCATCAATGACAGAGCAGTATAAACAGTTCTAGACCTTTTTCCTTATCAGTTGGTCTAAAAAAAAAAATCACACACTAAACTGTATCATGTATCTGATCTAAAACAAATCGGAAAGTGACGCAAACAGCATGCCGAAAGTCAAAAACAAAAAGACCTTGTTTCGCTAACTCTAGTTTCTAAAAACGTTCATTCAAATGTGTTTTTTCAGCAAACAAAACAGTATTAGAGTGTCTCTATCAAATGCCACTTTAATTGCGATTAGTCCTAGCGGGGTGGATTCAAACACCACTTAATTGGCGATTAGTCCACAAAGAGTTGAATGCATCACAATGGCCTGAACTTTTTCTCATGTCTCTGAGCGAAATAACAGCGCCATGGACACTTTATAACATCTGCTGTAAACAAGACTTTCAAATGACAGTTCTGTCACAATGAGTCAATTTCCTGTGTGGGTTCCGGGGCCCTATTATAGGGAAAACAAGAATAGACCCACTGCCTACCCAAAAGCATGTTGTTAGAGTCTACTAATTGGGAGCTTCCTTCGAAGTCAGAGTGCATCTGCCTGAGAGGCAAGGAACAAACAGTCTGCATACAAAATGAGTCAGAACTGTAAAATGGATGCACACGCAACACTTAGATTCTGGAACAGGACTGCAGTCCAGAAGTGGATGAACAACCAGAATTTTCAGCCAGAACTTACAGCTGCTGAACAGAAAGAAGAAGACAATGAGTCAATATTTAGAGGACAATCGTACACAGATCTTATAAAACCTTAAAACAACAGTTGTGCAAAAACTGAAATCGATTTAGTCTTTAAAAGCAACAAAAATTAAGAAGGTGATGTAGCTGACAACACAAAACTATACCCAAGGTAATCTCACCTATAACTGGTAGATCATCACTGTCAAGAAAGATTCTTGCATGACCGTCCTGAAATTATAGAAAAATAAGTTGATGTATGAGAAAACAAATATTTTGCACTAAAATGGAACAGAGCATGTACAATGTTAACAGGAACAGTATTCATTCGTCTAAGTAAATCAGTAAGTGTTACATTTAGAAACCATCAGAGATATGCCAACAAACCAATTTTAAATCCTTCACCCCATGAATGCTGAAAAAGCTGGCTCAAGAACCTGTAGAAATTTTCTAAAAATAAGTATGTCAAAAAACCTATTTCGTAAGACACTAAGACATTTTTTACACATATATTTATCAACATTTTGATAAAGAAATATAAAGGGGTAATCAATAAATATGAACATAGTGTAGCACTAAATAAAACAATATTTAAAAAAGATCTTTTTTTTTTTAAAGCAGCTGACTTATGCTATGACCTCTATCACTGAGGCTTATGGGAAAACCCGACTTTCAAAAATCCAGTGGGATCATAAGGAACCCCTCTAAATGCTATTTTTAGTTACTACATCGAAATCCTGGCCTATAAAACAGCTTGTAGGAGGATATGGTACCAATGGAATTTAACTACGTTTTTCATGAACAGGTTATTGTAGAAATGGCTAATCAGAAGTTTCTAGATTTAGCCTTCCTCGGCCAACATGGTTAAGAGCGCAATATGAATGTAGTTTGCAAACCATTCTAGACAAGGTGGTGAAGTGCCAAAAAGAGATTATCATTCCAATTTAATTTACAGAACATTAAAAAATATTTGTTGCAAAAATCTAGGCTGCACAATGAAATCTGATAGAAGATACCAAAAAATGTGTGCTTTCTTTTTAGCCCACCACAAATGACGTCACAGGACAGTCCAATATTTTAGAGGGTGGTAAGAGGGGTTTTTCTGTGGTTTCTGTGCTTTAGCACGTTTCTTTGAAGGCCAAGGTTTTCCTGCATTTACCTAACCCTAACCAAAAACAATACACTTAATCTACCACCCCCTGAAATATTTGACTGTCATGAGACCTGTGGATTTTCCCTGTTTGTCGTCAGCTAATAAGAAAGTATCCCGAAAAATTGCTGTACTTAAAGATTCAAACAATGAATGAAAAATATAAATCCATTTACTAAAATGATAATCTTCAGCGGCTGGAAAATTAATGTGAATAAATTAAACGATCAATCAGGAATTGACACCATTACACTCAAGAAATTCCCACACATGCACTGTCCCCTTTCCCAGCAGCCAAAAAAAAGTACCCACACTGATGGTGTTAGCTGCTACATGATTAAAAGTCGACAATCTTTTTCCTTGTCCGCATAACGAAAATCATTAAGACCCTCTGCTTGCTCCTGGGTGACAGTCTCTACATATATAGATACTCTGTTTTGTTGCACTGTCTACCTGATCCCAGCACCTTCACTGTATCTGCTGTACAGTAAAGTAGGCTGAAGCTAATAGGAGTGGCAGCAGCTAATCTATCCGCATTAATACCACTGTGATCAGGAAAACAAGAAAGGAGGTAGGCTGCTGACCTCCGATGAAAATTATCATTTGAGTCTTCGAGTCTGAGACCAGGTTCAAGCAGAACAGTTCCAAAACAACAAAGTCAGTCAGGCCATGATACTGGACCACGAATGCACTGTCAATTTCATCACTAATAAATCATTACTAATGAAAGTTATGTGTTAAAAGCAATACTAGCATTACTGATATTTGTTATTGCAGGGTATCAGCAAGATGACGGTGTCATAATTATGGCTTAGCATTTATCATACAATAATTAGGCATTCAAAACAAGCACTACTGAAACGGTAACAAGGGATATAGCTTACCTAGACTGTAAAGTCAAAGCTAGATTAATCAATAATGCAACAAAGAATACTTGCCCTGATTAGAAATGATGCATAAAATATATTCTCCACAGTCTGACCAAATGAATGCGGATTAGTAACAAACTCAAAAAAGCAGATGGGTGTATCTGTGGATAAACAATTACATAAATTTACAAAAAACCAATGAGTACCAGGTTTGCACATCAAAATAAAATAAGTTAGTGTAAAACAGTGGTTTTCAACATGGGAAAAGGGGCGGGTGTCTAGTTATATGTTCAAGGAGGGTACCACCTGGAAAAGGTTGAAAACCAGTGATCTAAAGTACATGACGAGCATAAAAAAAGAACAACCACACATTAATGATTACATCAAAAATTCAAAAGAATGTAATACATTAGATCCCAGTTTCCAATGGCATACATAGCAATGAAAATGCCAAAAAAGAGAAACATTCTCTTAACATGAAATAATTTAGCCTTTGAAGAAATCTGGGAGGAATGAGTTGACAGCACAGATTACTGATCATGTTGAACAAGTGGGCAGTTACAAACATCAAAGAACCAGATAAATAATAATTATAACCGATTCAGACAGTGGTGCAGTGATTTCTGTCACAGCCACAAAAGAAAGTTTCAGCCGCTGTGATGTGTATAAGGAGATATTCTGTTTAATCTGTTTCTCATCTCAGGCTCCAAGCAGGCTCTGTACTGGTTTTTTGCAAAACTCCGGCCACACATCCTCAAAATGCACTATGGGTAACGGCTTATACTAGCCAAAATTAGCAGGCAGGGGATCTCAGAGTCGGTGGTTGGAAGGAAAACACAGTCAGTGACCTCCAAAGGAGCAGTGCCAGAAATCCTCAGGCTCTCGTCAGCCTAGTCCTTGTGCATGGATGATAATAATTAATGTACATGGAAAACTCATCTTTAGAAAATGAGTCAAGGTTGCTGACCAAGTACCCTACTGAATGATGAACTCGGATTAAAAGTTCTACTGTATATCTTGGTTCAACTTCTGTTGATCCAAACTCCTTCTATATGGCTAGATAGGTTGAAATTGTTCTTCCATCAAGTATCCTACTGTATGACAGCAAATGTTCAGAAATTTTTCGCCCAAAGATGCTACTGTAGGACACAAGGGGTTTAAACGCCCTCTACCAATGGCCACACTCAGAGCGCAATGACTATAAGGTAAGCTATTCCTAAGTTGTGCTTCCCACAGAAATAATTAGAAGAATGTTACATTATTAAAGAAGCAATCCAGCATAAAACAAAAAGCAGAGTTCAGATCTTGCAGAGAAATAATTCAAACTTATATGCTAGACCTAACAAAGGTGAAGTCGTAATAAACAGAAATCACAGAAACATAAATCTCACTTTAAAATTAACATGTACAATTTTTTTTAAAACAAATACAGTCAAGAAAAAGAAAAATGCCCACCAACAAAGAAAAACCTGTGAAATCATGACACATATGGAAAACACTCAGATAGGACCCCCTAACGAGGCCCCACAAACACTAACTAAAAGAAAAAGAATATAAAGTAACAACACATTAATAAATAAGAAGTAGCAATGATATATAAATATGAAGTAACAATCATATATAAACATGAAGTAACAATCACATATAAATATGAAGTAACAATCATATATAAACAGCAAAAATAAAATTATCAATGGTTGTAGCTGAGGTGCGAATAACATGAGTTAATGGAAGCGACACTTTTTGTTTCAGGCAGTTCTGGTTGACTTAAAACAAAGACAGCAATTCTGTTACAACAATGGGCTTTTAATCCGATAGGAAACAATTTATGAAAGCCACAGTGAAGCATTATATTACCCATTTCTTATATATTATATTTTATTCAAGAATTAACCTTTTGCCCCTATATTTGTTTCTATTATTATTATTTTCTAAACTAACTAGATGATGCGTAGTCAACAATGGTTTTAATCTGGGATAATTAGACAAATTCTAGTATCAAGGCATATGATAAAATCAGATAAACGATTAATTGGAATCTGACCAGAGGAAAAATGAATGAAGTTGAATGTTGTATTAAGAATCGACATCACAGCACTCAGGACACTCCCATAAGTGCTCTGTCCCCATCTTCAGCAGCAAGCAAAGAGTTCCATTTTCGATGGCACCAGTAACCGTCTGATTGTATATCCATCTCATCCTTTCCCTGAGTGTTAAGTGTCGGCCACATTCCTTGGTAACTCTTCGCAGCGCCATTCTTCTCAAACCGTAATGATCTATCTACGCCTCCGGACTGTTCACTTGTTACCAAAGGACCCTCACAATATCTAGCTTGTCATACGTCAATTAATTACCAAGTGTTGCTTTGCCGGCCAGTCTATCTGCCTGCTCATTTCCCAACACACTGCATGACCTGGAGAAAATATCCAACGGATGCTAACTACCTGGGACCTCTGAAGCAAAATGAATAAAGTTTATCTTATGAAATAAATTTCTGTCACTAGAGTTTAGAACAAAAATTCTCGTTATCTGTCTGTGTGTGTCTTTTCTCACAACAATTTTTCTACTCATATTTTGTTTTTTATCCACTCATTCATAATATTTAAGAACACACAACACAAGCCACACAGATGAAAGGCATTTCATGTGAATTTTACTGGCACAGGAATGGAGCCATTAGGAGTGACCCATTTGTAGTGAAGTTTAAAACCTGAATACCTTCAACAGGTAGCACTGGTTTGGCTAGTAGTTAGATAATTTGAAATGTCAATGAAAAACATTCACGATAAAGAGGGAAATAAAGATACAAGTGTTGGAACTTACCGTTTTGGTTATTGTACACACGCCATAAAGTATTCAGCAGATGTTCTACTTGTGCTGTCGTTAATTCTCCCCTGTCTGTTTCCTCTAATGACGATAGCTATGATAAGAATGCATATTGTTTTACCGAGAATGTACATTTGACTTAGAAGTAAAAAAAATTGTTACTGCTACCTGAAATTAATTAATTTAAAAAAAAATAGTTTTCATAGCCAGTGGTGAATCTGGCATTTGAAGCTTCAGTGCGGTGGACCAATGTTTAATCTCTTGTAGACCTGTCAGCCACACCACAACCTAAAACACATAATAGAGTAATTTATTATACAATGTCAACGCTCACCATCCCTGACTACCACGCTTGTACATTATGCGACCGGACGACGTTTACGCCCGACTACTTTGATCACATTCCCTGCAACTGTGGACGCCATGTTATAATCTTAACTTTTGCGATGAATAGTTAGTCTATTCATTTTTCTGTGCCTTTAAGGGAAACAACTCTATAGTGCCTATAGTGTATTTTTCACATATTTTTATGGAAAGCTCCAAAGTTGGTAAATATTTTGTCATGGTGTCAAAGATGGTGGCAACATTTTTTACAATATTTCTGGTGCTAGGGGTGATTTTCTTGATTTTTCTATGGAAACTGAAGATGAAGATATAACTAAACAGTTGACTCTGATAAATCTTACAAAGTTAAGCAGAGTTTTCTCTAAGGATTATTTGAGACAGACAAACAGAGTAAGAGAGAGAGAGAGAAAACAAGATACACACAAACACACACAAATTCATTATACTGGTATCAGAGTGATTTTCAGGGACCTTTTATGCACCAGTCTACAGCCACATGATGATGATGTAAAACAAGATTACACAATTCTTGTTTTTTTTTGTTATCCATTCAATTTGGTGCAAAAAATACAAAATATTAGAAGTTTATGATAAAGTTATGAATCTATGCCATTTTTAGTCAACAATTTAAATGTGTGGTATCTGGGAAAGTGCAAGGGTTATCATGCTTAGTAGTAGTAGTCAGTGGGTTCATTATTTATCTAAAATGTGCACAATTTCAAAACAATAATATTCACAGCAAAATGGTGTGGTGAGTGAGTGCAGCAGTGGTAGATAAATTCAATATATGATTACAAAAACAAAAAATACAGAAACTCAAAATGATATCTAGAAAACAAGCAGAAACTAAGCACAACACTGGTATAATGATTGAGAGAATTTGCAGAAAGAAATGCAGGTGGTCTGTCTGCAAGTAGAGAACAGTCCCACTTAGCAACAAATTAGGTCACAGAAAGGTACTATTTCAAAGAAGGAAACTGTAGGCTAAATATTTATTTCTTTAATACAGGACATAGGTTTCTAGAATTTAAAACCAAACAAAACTTGAAAGCTAATTAAATTAATGTGAGAGAAAGGTAAGAAATAGTAACACTATAACACTAGAGAATGACAGATGTATTATAAGCATGCAAACTGCTTGACCATCAATTAACAAAATATTCTCAAGATGTAACACTGGTGACAGTCTGAAAAACTAACTACATACATTTCATAAAGAGAAGCAGGGCAGAAGTAGCAGTGAAGCAGAAACATGGATTCGCAATGATAAACACAAAACTGGAACTGTTGGCCAGTCAAGCTGAAGGTGGGGAAATCTCCAGGTGTACACAGAAATCTCAATAATTCCTCTAATTCAGATAGGAGTTAAAGCAAGAAAAAATGCTGTGGAGAAACAAATTGTTTTTCACAACATAAATTTGCCACATCGGCGATCTGCACTGTGTGTTAGTGTGTGTGTGTGTGTGTACACACACATACCCCACACACAATCACACACCATACACACACGCCCGCCTGCTGCCTGCCTGCCTGTGTACATTAATAAGATATAGTCTTGGTTTAGTGGTCACCTTTCAAACAGTTTGTTGCAGATTTAGTTGGCTTGTACATTCTTGATGTACAGAATGTATTATGCTTCCAGATATTATTGAACAGTTTACACCGTTTCTGTTTTTGTTTGTTTTTGGGACATGAATTTTTTTTATTTAAAAACTTATTGATTCAACAAGACACTATTTCCTGAATTCTGAATGTTGAATTAAGAATTGACACCACAGCGCTCGGGACACTCCCAAAAGTGCTCAGTCCCCATCTTCAGCAGCAAATGAAGAGTTCCAATTCCGATGGTACCAGTAACTGTCTGATTGTATATCCATCTCATTCTTCCCCTGAGTGTTGAGCATCGGCTAGATCCCCTGGCAACTCCTCGCAGCACCATTCTCCCCAGACCGTAATAATTTATCTGCGCCTCCTTACTGTTTACTCGCTCTTAAAGAACCCTCAAAATATCTAACTTCTCATATTATTTTGTAATAGAGTTTAACTGGACATATATTATAACCAAAGCTTTTCTAGCAATCTTGATTGCCATTTGCTTTCACCCTCTATTTTAGTAGATATTTTCTGACCAAAACTTATGTAAACAGAAAGCAGATTTTAGAGAACCGATAATGTATTTGAGAAACTTCCATGACAGTATTATTTTACTTCACTCAACAGGTCTTGGTACTTACATTCATTATGACTCTTTAATCAGTAAATTTACAGAGCATGTGACCAAATTCTGATAAGAACAAATCCTAGTGTGAACCTGTTTGCCAAGTTTCAAGACAACGCGAGGAACTGCATCACTCTACTAATCATGTTAGGATTCAGCTTGACACCGTCATTAAAATTAGATTAGAACTGAAATAAACAATGATGGTTTCAACCTGATACATAAAGTATTTTTTATTGTGGTTCTGGCTATTTTATTTCAAAACATATGAAACCTGCCCGACTAGAGGTGATGTTAAAGTGGCTTACATGTATCGCAAAACTGGTGTTTTCTTGAAGTAAGGTTGAACAGCTCTGCCCAAAGAGACCCAGTTTTCATGTCTCAAGCCAGAATCTTGGAGGTAATTTCCCATTAACTTTACTTTCTGAAAAAATTAAGGAATAATATAATTATAGATGGATAATGTATTTTACATAGACATAACATTAACAAAGAAACATGAGGACATTTTAATATTCAAATGAGTACAGCTAACGGTTTATGTACAGTTAACCTATTTAAGAATAATAATGAATAATGTATACATTTCTTAATCTGATTTCTTTTTTAATTAATCTCTTCTTGTTACTCAGGCAGCTCTTCTGTGACATCACAACTGGGTTATAAGTTTGTCCTCATTAGTTTATTAAATATCCATGTCTGACTCTGTTAGCTAAAAGTTTGCCAAAAGGGGGAGGGGGTCCTACATGGTGAAGAGTTCAAGCCGTCTGCCTAGTGCTTTGAAAGTCATGTGTTCATAGTTTATATCACAACAGCAATTTTATTGGAGACCCAGTGGCACTGTCCCCAGAGCTACTGTTTTTGTGCTTTGTGCAATGCTCTCTTTCTGGTGAAAGGGGACCAGGCTATATTAGAGAAAACCTGGTGCAATGAAGACTTAAGCCTAACCTGTGATTTTGGCAAGAAAAAACAGTCTAAATGCATGAAACTGCCGCTGATCATCAACTGGTGCGCTTTTCTCTCTCAAGTCCAAATATAGTTTTGTCTGGGTCTGTGAAGGTGACTAACAATTCTGTCACACTGAACACAGTTGAAACTTTACTTACCAAAGAAATGTACTCACCACTTTATCACAGAAATCCGCTGGACTAAACGTAACAAAATCTGTCTTTAACGCCTGGGCTTTTGTTTTGCCAAGTTCAGAAATGTTCAAGAGATTTGCTGCATCAAGTGCTCCTTCCCTTGTCATCTGAACTGTTGACATAAAACATGAACAGTACTAAAAAGTAATTTCTCTTCAAATCCACTTCTTTTACACTGTGCTTTCTACCAATATAATTATTTCTGTAGCTATTTGTGCTACTAAATTCTGTTAACATGTCCCACTGATGATCAGATCCTTTTATATTTGTTAAAGGATTGCATGCACCGGTTTCTAATTGTAATAATCCCAACTACAATCAAAAATAACTTATTCTTAGACAATTTTACCCATCTTTCACAGCTTAACTTTTCCAGCCCCAAGTTTGTCATTTATAATATATGCAAGCAGTATCCAAGTCTTCCTAAAAAGATGTTTATCTTTGTTTCTAATTATCTTCTGCACATTAATTTTGAATCTCTAGTGCTGCCTGTAGCCATGGACTGTGGACTGTCTAAACATGCTTTTAGTTAATGGTCTCCCAACACGTATCATGTCCAGCACTAATCTACTTAGTGTCGTTTTCATGTTATCCATAAACAAGTTAGTGAGATCAAACATACAAACACAAACCTCGCTTAAACAATTCGTCAACTTTTTCCACATTCTCAGTCAACAGATCTTGTTCGCTGGATGGATTAACCAAATCTTGTCTGTTTTCTGAAAGAAACAAAAGTACATTTTTAACAGATCCATCCATTCCACACAGAAAATGATAAGTTTCATTTTGTTTTGTTCTGGCTCAAAACTAGTTCATTTGGTTTCTTACTTGTGTCCTCTGTTCCTCCATGACAGTATTATTTCAATTTACTTATCAGGTCTGTGGTACTTATATTAATTATGACTCTTTAATCAGTAAATTGTTTTTCTCCTTTTGTTTTACTGTATTATATCTGTCATGCTTGAAGCAAACTGTTCCATGTGTATCACAATTTAATGTGGCTTGAGCTGCAGGTAAAGGTGGTCCCACAGAAAATACTGCCACTGGAATGTTAAGTGATATGCCTTCAAACATTCTAGGCAATTATATGAGGTGGGGTAGCCAGTCCTTGTCACCTCTTTTCCCCAGGGGCCCTAGAACCCACACAGGACTCTCACTAAGTCATCATAGATCTGACAACACTGAGAAAATGTATCAGTTACTAGCCATGCTACCCACATACGTTTTGTTCCTGTTGCTACTGCACTTTTATTGTATAAATGAAGCTACCCAGACACAGCTCACTTCAAGCTTCAAATTCTTGCCAGTACACTCATTAAAGTTTCCCAGGTGTGCACATCATTTTTACTAATGACAGAAAAACTTTTAAGGGAAGTAGCTTTTTTCTACACCTTTGCTGTTACTAAGGCATAGTGTAAGATAAACTTTAAGACACCTGTTCAGTCTTTCTTTATTATTTGCACATGTATTGTCCTTTACAGAATAAATATGATGTCAGCGATGTGCTTTTGAAGAAACAAGAGGAATATCTGGACAAGTGCTTGTATTATTAAATATACGACAAAGAAAAAAAACACTATACTGGGCACATCATTTGGAGAAATGGACACAGATTCACCCAACAATTAATGAAATGGGAAACAAATGGATCAGGGAAATAAGGATGTCCAAGAGAGAGGCAAAGAATACCAGACTGGATTCCATCCATGATACTGAGCAGATAGTATATGATAGAATGGAATGGAGGACTAGACTTGGGAACCCTGTGTGACATATAATGGCACAGTAGGATGATGGTATGTACTTGACCATGCTTTGACATGTCTAGCTTGTTCACTTGTACTGATGATACTTTAAATTAAGGAATTGTTTTTTTTTTTTTTTTTTTTTAAATAATGCATGTCTTGGTGTTACCTTTATTTCTGACACATGTCTTCTACTTCTTCTTCTGCCTTTCTATCCCCCAATGGAGCATAGGCCCTCAACCAACTCACGCCAAGTCGTTCTATCCTTCGCCATTGCATGGAGCTCTCCCCATGTCCTCCCAATCTTTCTAATCTCATTCTCCAGCTCTCTTCTCCATGTGTTTTTTGGCCTTCCTTTATTCCTATGCCCCTGTGGGTTCCAATGCAAAGACATTCTAGTTATGCTGTTCTCCTGTTTTCTCAGTGTGTGCCCTATCCAACGCCAGCATCTTTTCCTCACCTCCTGATCCACTGGAGCCTGTTTAGTTCTCTCCCAAAGTTCTACATTAGTTATTCTATCAAACCATTTTATTCCCTCTATTCTGCGCAGGCACCAGTTAATGAATGTCTGTAATTTATTAGTAATTGCCTTGGTTGTTCTCCATGTTTCCACCCCATACAATATATCGTCTATTATTTGTATGTCTGCTCCATGAATTGTTATAAATTTTACCATTTTGTACCAAATCAACGCCATCTCTAATTTAATAAATAGAGAAGGCTGTGACCAAATCAACTAATTGATTCTGTTTTAATCCCAATTCTTCAATTAATGAAATGGTAAGCTGTTAGCTTTATAAGCCAGTCATAGCCTAGTTGTTTTTCACTAATTTAATTTCACACCAGAAAAATACTGATAACTTCTAGACATAAAACACACATTTTATCCTAGTTTATTGAATTCACACAAAAGTATGTTAAAGAATAATCATCATCATGTGCCCTGCTAAATGCATCTCCACAGATCACGATCCCTGGTTGCCTGGAACTGCTGTCTTGATATCCCTCCATGCCATCGTTTCAGCCCATCCAGCATCCTCTCTCTTGGTCTACCTCTTCCCACTGATCTTTCCAGTTGTCACAATGTTTTCTAATGCCTCTTCTCATTACGTGGCCAAAGAACAGTGTGCATCTCCTTTTTATTGTTGTATATAGAGATTTACTTTCATTAGCTTCTTTCAAACAATTATTATTAGTTACTCTGGCCGTCCAAAGTATTTGTAACATTCATCTCAAAATCCACATCTCTGTTGCTTCCAAATTCTTCTTAATATGTTCACTGACATTCCAAAATTCGCTGCAACAGAGGTTCTATGAAACATTTTAGCACTCTCTTTACGTTAAAGAATACAGTGTTTCATTCATGTCCTATTTTTTTAGACTACGTCCCAATTTTCACAAATGTATTTAAGATTTAGCACATCTGCTCAGTACTATTCTATATGACATCTGCTCAGTACTATTCTACATGACATCAGCTCAGTACTATTCTACATGACATCAGCTCAGTACTATTCTACATGACATCAGCTCAGTACTATTCTACATGACATCAGCTCAGTACTATTCTATATGACATCAGCTCAGTACTATTCTACATGACATCAGCTCAGTACTATTCTACATGACGTCTGCTCAGTACTATTCTACATGACATCTGCTCAGTACTATTCTACATGACATCTGCTCAGTACTATTCTACATGACATCTGCTCAGTACTATTCTACATGACATCTGCATGCTCAGTACTATTCTACATGACATCAGCTCAGTACTATTGCTACTATTCTATGACATCAGCTCAGTACTATTCTACATGACATCAGCTCAGTACTATTCTACATGACATCTGCTCAGTACTATTCTACATGACATCTGCTCAGTACTATTCTACATGACATCTGCTCAGTACTATTCTACATGACATCAGCTCAGTACTATTCTATATGACATCTGCTCAGTACTATTCTACATGACATCTGCTCAGTACTATTCTACATGACATCTGCTCAGTACTATTCTACATGACATCTGCTCAGTACTATTCTACATGACATCAGCTCAGTACTATTCTGCTCAGTACTATTCTACATGACATCTGCTCAGTACTATTCTACATGACATCTGCTCAGTACTATTCTACATGACATCTGCTCAGTACTATTCTACATGACATCAGCTCAGTACTATTCTATATGACATCAGCTCAGTACTATTCTATATGACATCAGCTCAGTACTATTCTACATGACATCAGCTCAGTACTATTCTACATGACATCAGCTCAGTACTATTCTACATGACATCTGCTCAGTACTATTCTACATGACATCAGCTCAGTACTACATGACATCAGCTCAGTACTATTCTACATGACATCAGCTCAGTACTATTCTACATGACATCAGCTCAGTACTATTCTACATGACATCAGCTCAGTATCCTATTCTATTCTACATGACATCAGCTCAGTACTATTCTACCATGACATAGCTCAGTACATTCTAGACTCAGCTCAGTACTATTCTACATGACATCAGCTCAGTACTATTCTACATGACATCAGAGTACTATCAGCTATCATCAGCTCAGTACTATTCTACATACATGAGTACATCAGCTCAGTACTATTCTACACATGACATGACATCTGCTCAGTACTATTCTACATGACATCAGCTCAGTACTATTCTATATGACATCAGCTCAGTACTATTCTATATGACATCTGCTCAGTACTATTCTACATGACATCAGCTCAGTACTATTCTACATGACATCAGCTCAGTACTATTCTATATGACATCAGCTCAGTACTATTCTACATGACATCTGCTCAGTACTATTCTATATGACATCAGCTCAGTACTATTCTACATGACATCAGCTCAGTACTATTCTATATGACATCAGCTCAGTACTATTCTACATGACATCAGCTCAGTACTATTCTATATGACATCAGCTCAGTACTATTCTATATGACATCAGCTCAGTACTATTCTATATGACATCAGCTCAGTACTATTCTACATGACATCAGCTCAGTACTATTCTACATGACATCAGCTCAGTACTATTCTATATGACATCAGCTCAGCACTATTCTACATGACATCTGCTCAGTACTATTCTATATGACATCAGCACAGTACTATTCTACATGACATCAGCTCAGTACTATTCTATATGACATCAGCTCAGTACTATTCTATATGACATCAGCTCAGCACTATTCTACATGACATCTGCATGCTGACTCCCATATCCACAGAGCTGAAACTAACAACAATGGTCTTCAGGACATGGACATGTCTTGGGCAAAGTTCCCACCTGTTCAAGAGACTTTCTGCAAACAGTGCTACATCCCTGTACTGGTTAGCTGTGTTAAATGCTGTTTTGTGTTAAATGAAGTCTCCGCTATGGTTACAGCAGAAGGAAAAAACTGACTAAAAACAATAAAGATCATAAAGAATGTGTAGTTATTCTGAATGTACAATTCTGCTTTATATGGTCATAACTATCTAGGATTTTGTTTCCTGTTTTCCCCTGTCTCTCTCCCCATCAAACACTTCTGTTCTCACTATGTAATTGTGTTCCATTTCTCATAATACACTAAGAGTCTAAAAAATGTCTTCCGATGTGACTAACCAGTTTCATTTAGTTTTTTCACTGCAATTTTAATTTGGTCCACAGTGTTCTTATCATTCTTCTATAACACCACATCTCTGCCACTTCCATGTGCTTTTTCAGTGTTTTCTGAATGTTTATGACTTGTTTCCATATATCAGAGATGACTATATCTCTCAAACTCTCTCTCTCTCTCTCTCTCTTGTTATGGGATGGCAGGAAAATGTAGTTTGTGGTTTCTTAAGGTGTCATTAGGTGACAGCAACATTGAAAATAGGTGGTGCATGCTCATTCGCAACACAGAAATAAAATAGCAACTGTACTTACGGAGTGCACCCTCAAAGAACAAGGTGCTGTTGTGAGTTTTTCTGAGGGGCAAAAGGACTGCCTGAAAAGGACATTTATAAGGAAATGCTTTCTGCTAATGCTGACATATGTTTGTTCCATAAAGCGGTGCATAGCAAGGTAAAAACAAATTTCTCTAAAATTGTTGATGATGCCCGATCTGGTCATCCTGTTGAGATTGCAACAGACGCATCCATGCAGCAGGTGGAGGAGATGATTAGAGGTAACAGACGAGCATGGTTGACTCTTTAGCAGCTGCAATAGGGTGCTCACATGGTTCAGCATACAATATAATGCAATTCGAAGAAAACGTTCAGGCCTGCTGACTAAAGGAGTTCTGCTCCTTCACGACAATGCCAGTCCACATAGCTCGGTTACCTCAGGAGAAAATTAACCATCTAGGGTGGGAACTTCTGGAACATCCACCTTAAAGTTACAGCTCTCACTTAGCCCCTAGAGATTTCCACCTTTTTGGTCCATTGAAAACCCACCCTGGCGGGAGACATTTCACGAATGACGCAGAAGTTGAATGTGAAGTGAAAATGTGGTTTTGTCTACAGAGCATGCAGCAGGTTTAGGAGGAGTGATAAAATAATGGAACCAGTGCATCAATGTTGGTGGAAATTAGGTTGAAAAATAAATGGCTAGTGTAAGTGTAAAAATAAACGGTTTTCGGGACATTATGGTCTTTTTTTTTTTTTTAAAGACAACCATTTGTGTCCCATCGTAAAATTGTTAAAATCTTTTTTTTAAATTTGTTATTTACTGAATTCTATTCTAATTAATCAATTATCTGTAAATAAAATTTTAAAAATTATAATTATAATATAGGGACCACAGATCCGGAAATTTGCTATCTTTTCGACAATTTCCGTTACCATAGAAACCGTTTAAAACTTGTTTCGGAAATGTCGGCTGGGGTTTCGGGATGGGTCCTAATCTCTCATGAAATTTTGCCATTGGTGTGATTTTCACCCACTCTAAATAGCTGAAAACGGCGGAAAGAACCCGATTAACAGCGCATGTCTACGACAGCCGGACATCTCTGTTTTTCTGTTAGTCTATCAGTTTGATTGAAAATAGCGGTAAATTCGATTGGCTTTAGGCTTAAACATTACCAGTTGTGGTAATGCTAGTTACAATTGAATTCTCCGTCCAATTTTACATTTGCATATAAAATTTTTTTCCCGACTCTGGCTGTTTAGATTTACAGTGACATTTTTTTAGGCAATCGCATGCGGCTGAGTGAGCTGAGTCTCACTGCCTGCCATCTTGTCCAATGACAGTCCAATGTCACACAAAGCCGATACAGAACTGCGCAGTAGGTTGCGCAGTAAAAAACTTCTTGTTTCTGGGTCACAAGTTTTAGCGGCTGTTTCTTACATCTCATCTCCACAAAAACCTACATATCTCAGCTCAGAAATGACATACAAGCCTAAATGAGGTACCATTGGAAAGAGATTGTTTACAGCTATCTAACTGTGCTGGTTTTATTGGTGTAGAGGGCATTTTAAAAATTTGACTGAAGTAGCTATATAATACATGTGATCTTGTGTGTGTGTGTTGTGTTTTAGTACCAAACAAATTCTATTATTTCAAGATTTGAATTAATCAATTAATGATTAATTCACATTGTTGAGACGACTGTTTCGGTAGTTTACCTGCTAATTCTTCCTGAAGCCTTCTGTATCCTTCTCTGATAAGGCGCCTTTCTTCTTCATTCTGGCGGTTACGAAATGATCCTAAAACTTCTAAACGTTCATCTTTAGAGTCAAACAAATCTTCTGGAACTGGAACTTCAATGCAGTTACCACTCGCCATTTTGTTTATTATTGTTTGCGTAAAATAGCCGGTACAGTGGCCTCCTCTTGAAAGAACAAACGATACTTGTATTTTACTATTTATTTATAATGAAGTAACGCCATGCTGACAAAAAAAAACAGTGGATTTTATTAGTCTTTCATAATAATATCATTTGGGAAAATATCAAGAACTCTTCCAATTTGAATAAAATTGGTAGTGAATGATTTTTTAAACATTTCAGGAAGTCTGTAAAGCAGGACGATACTCTGTTTTCATTATGGCCCGGCCCGCCCGGCCCGGACCAGTGTTGCCACTTTTCTTTGACAAAAAAATATTCAAAACGATGTCAAAAAATATCTAAAAAGATCTAAATCTGCGTGGGGAAAAAGATCTAGAAGAAAAAACATCCAAATTGAAAAAGTCAAAAATTTCATAGCTTTTGTTATGACTTACCCTACATAATCATGACCTCACCTTCACTATTGTCTGCCTCACAAGATCCACAGGATAAACTTAGCTTGGATAATGGAGTTGAAGCTTCAGATCCAAAATGACCCTGGTATGCTTTAGCTGTTCAAATTTCTTTAAAGTGGAACAGTAGGCTTATTTCTCTAGTCTCATCAGGCCGAATTTTAATGGCACGACAGCATTTAAGAGGTCAAACTTCATCCTGTTTTTTAGGTCAGATTTGATATAATTCCTAGCACTGAAAACTCTTTCTACGTCAGCATTTGAGTGGGGTAGTATCATGGCAGACATACCACTTTAAAGAGCTTACAGAATGGACTGTTTGATGAGGCATCTTTAAATTGTCTCACTTCACTCCAAAACGCTTTAGTTTCTGTTTTGTTTGTCCATTCAGCTAACTTTATTTTGGTTAACTGATATTCTGCTTCCGCGACACTATTATCAGTAGCCCCTAAAAATTTCATAACTTTACAATATTTAGGTATGTCCTTTATTGGCTGAAGTATGTTGCTCACAGAAAAAAAGTGAAATATTTTTCAAAACATCTAGATTTTCAGAAAGTCTCTGCTTCAGTTGCTTCAATAATGAGATAAGGAAATCTTGACAGCGTTTTCTTAGTTGTTCTCCTTATTCTCTGTTAACAGTCCCTTTGTTTTTAAATCATCAATTTTTGATTCGATTTAAAATCCAAGGTGTGGCTTAGGAGCCAAATAGCTCTCTATAGTGCAAGTAAGCAAATCAGCTTTAGAAGTTGGCAACCGAGTGAAATAGCAAGGTGAGATCATCAAGTAATTTAACTTTATCAACAAGTTTAGATTCGAACAGTTTATTAACTTTTTGCACTTCCATTAAAATAGGTTATAAAAAGAGAATGAATGACACATTTTTTTCATCACTGTACATTCCATATAGTATTTCAGCTGTGTAGCACTTTTCACTTTGTCTTGTTATTTCAAAGTGTGTCTTTAACTTCAGCCATTGCTTCATAATTCTTTCAACAGCTGGTTAAATTGATAACCATCTAGTTTTGCAATCTGACAGAATTTTCGGTGGTGTGGAACCATCATTCAAGGCTGTATATAATGTATTGTATTGCTGTTGTCTGACAAATGATTTGGAAAACTAGTAAAGTGTTTCAGCAATAAGGTATTCCAAATTCCTTGGTAAATATTTAGATGAAGCATGTGATAATGCTAGCTGCAATGAATGACGCATACATTTTATAAGTATTAACGATGGGTTAGCTTCCTTCAACTTGGCATAAACGCCATTGTTTATACCAACCATCACTCAGACATTATCAGTACCAATTACAGCCAAATTCTCAAGACTAACTGTTTGCTGATTAAAAGGTCCTTCAGTTCCTAAACTATACTTTCTACACCACACTTTTCAAATTGAACTAGTCCAAGATTTTTTACAAATCGATCAAATGGTCACAATTTTAAATTGCGCAGTGACAAATTAAAAACATTGCGACTGATACTTCAACTTTTGATGATTCATTTATCAGTATAGTTCTGAAAACAGATGTCAGCGGTGTAATATCTTTAAATGAAACTGCAGTTTTATGCTTGTTTGGTCTCTTTGAGTTTTGTATTTTCGCTTTGATTTCACACTTGCAGTACTTACAACAAGCTTTGGTCACATCCCCAGTTTTTAATTTTGTCATCATGCAACCAATCTTTCCATATTTTTTGCTCATACTTTACTTTCGGCATGTTGAACGTTTTTTTTTTTTTTTTTTTCAAAGTGAAAGCCACATAAGAAGGTGAGCAATTATTTTTTTTAATCACATGAAAAAGAAACGCAAAATCAGCACAGTTAGGATACGGTTGAAACAAAGTAAGTATGATTTACGCGCGTTTTTATTAATCAGTACCGGGGCTGCTAGATATTAGTGCGTTGACCCCAGTGAGAGTTCAAAGTTGAAGTAATGGCAGTTGTCACAATGTACGTGCCAGACCAAAACAAAAATATTGTAGTAAATATTTTACACAGTAATTATTAAATTCACAATGAAAGAAAAAAAAATCTATAAAATATCTAACTGCATATGAAAAGATCTAGAAAAATATTTACGATCTAAACGTCAAAAACAGTATCTAAATGCATCTAAAGATCTAAATTTGGATATAAAAGATCCAAAGTGGCAACATACATAATGTCGCTGATTCCCCGCCACTCGTCCTATTATGGTTTGGAATACTTCAGAGTAATTTTTATTTTAAAGAATGATTGTTTGAGGTTTAATTATCCAAAACATCATTAGTCATACACCCCAGTATTCTTTAAACCAGGGCTATTCAACTGGCGGCCCATATCTAGCCCGCGGAGGCCTAGCAAGTGGCCCACCGATCGTTGCCAGTGAAATGGGGTATTAAAAAAAAAGTAATCAATCAGTGTTTCTGTACAAATCCTCAAAAACCTGTTGTGTCGAATGTGACAATAGAAAATGTTTGTCAGGGATCTCTAAATGCGAAGATACAAGGGAACGGGCGTATGAACAGACAATACCACAACTGCGGGAATGTCTCAGGCATGGAAATGTAATTAGTTCACGGTAAAGGTTACTTCAAATAGCTGAACTCGCCTGTTTGGAGCCAAAGGTCATAAGATAGACCGGAAAGAATCACGGTAACCACGGTAGGGAGCAGTCGCTCCACTAGACAGTCAATAAAGGTGAGATATTTATTTGACAGGAGGCGTAAAGAGATACAAGCCCAGCCCATATTATTAGCGCATAGATCACCGAGGAACTCTTCCTAAAAGTTTACCACTAGTACACAAAGACAATGGATGCTGCAGAACATTAGTGACACTGGACACCACAGAATACCGGCTAGTGATCTTGTTGTTAGATTATAATCATATATTTCGTAAACGTCTAGTGTGCAAGTCACAGACAGACGTAGACTGCAAGACGCGATTGTTTAGTAACAAACTGAAACAGTAACAGTGTTTTAAGTTATCTAAATTTTAATAATTAAGTGAAATACTTGATGCCATGGCTGATCTTCTTCTTCTCTTTCACCTTGTACCTCATCGAAGTGTCGGGGGGAGATGCAATGTACATTGATGAGCCCTGTCAAGAGCACTTTTAAGACTGATGTTCATTTCTGTAAGGCTGTTCTTAATGCCATCACTCCATATTTTCCGAGGTCTTCCACTCGCTCTATACCTGTTGTAACGTTTTAGTGTGGCTCGGTGTGGCAGATAGTACCAGGGCATTCTTGTTAGATGTCCAAACCACTTCATTTGTTGTTCATTGATGACCTGTAAGACTGGCTTTATTCCTAGCATTCGTCTGATTTCATGATTTCGTATTCTGTCTTTCCTTGAAACTCCTGCAGCTCTTCTAAGGCATTTCATCTCTGTTGTCACAATTTTAAATTAATTGGAGGATGTAAGTGTCCACGTTTGGCATTGATAGCATAGTATTGGCCAAAAAATAGTTCTGATAAGATTCCCTTTAGTATTCCGATGTATCTGCTTGTGTGTCAACAGGGAAGATAGTTGCCCCATTACTTGATTAGCTTTGGCACATCTGGAGCTAATTTCTCTGTCCAGTTTCCGTCGGATGTGAAAATTGCTCCCAAATACTTAAATTCCAATGTTTGTCTTAGGGTTTTTTTTTTTTTTTTTTTTAAAAAATTTCATTTCTAAATTGTCTTTATGTCTTCCTATCATCAGTGTCTCTGAATTCGTAGTGTTTATTTTCATACTATACTCCTCCCCTTTGTTACTAATTTGATTTAGGTGGTTCTTTGGGCATCCCGTATTTTCTGCTATGAGTACCTAGTCGTCGGCGAATAGTAATTCTGTAATATCTTCTTCATGAGTTCGTTTCGCTACATATAGTATCCATGTATGTTATAAAAAGAAGCGGCGATAGTACACAGCCCTGACGCACACCAGAGTTCACTATAAAAGTTCTTGACAACCCTGCCTTCTGTCTTATGCAGTATTTACTACGTGTGTACAGAATCATATCCAGAAGGTTTCACTGCTAGGAAATCAAAGATTGAGTCGTTGATTGCTGCTTATCAGCGGAATTCTTGTGCGAGCTTGTACTCAACAAGAAAAGCTACAGCGGCTTCTTTGCATGTTTCGTGGATATTAGCCAATAATAAGCGGCCCTTCGCTGACTCAGAAACCGTGAAAGAATGCATACTAGCAATTCTGGACGAAATAGCAGTTGATGATAAAATAAAAACAAGCGTGGCACATACAGTTCAGGAAATCCCTATGTCGGATACTTCGACGATACTCAGGATCGACATTTTAGGAACTAAAGTTTTTGAATCTTTAATTGAAAGCATAAAACAGGTAGAATTTGTGCTAGTTGCCATTGACGTTTCTACAGACATCATAGACGTTTCTCAGTTATGTTTATTTGTGCGGTTTTTTTTTTTTTTTTTTTTTTTTGTTGATGGAAAATGTTTTCGTGAAGAAATTTTAGCTTTAATAGCATTAGAGAATTTCACAACTGGAGAAGTTATTTCTGACAAGATTAAGTTATTTTTCACAGAAAATTGACTAGATTTGAA